CTGTACCTCTGAAACAAATAATGCAATATATGTTAAGAAAAAGAAAAAAAAAGATAGGAGGGGAAGAATGAAGGGGGGGGAAATCGGAGGGGGAGACGAACCATGAGAGACGATGGACTCTGAAAAACAAACTGAGGGTTCTAGAGGGGAGGGTGGTAGGAGGATGGGTTAGCCTGGTAATGGGTATTAAAGAGGGTACGTTCTGCATGGAGCACTGGGTGTTAGGCACAAACAACGAATCATGGAACACTACATCAAAAACTAATGATGTAATGTATGGTGATTAACGTAACAATAAAAAAGAATATAGAATTAAAAAAAAAAAGAAAATGAAAAGCCCCTAATTGTTACAAAAATATCCTTCATAGCTGTTGTTTGCTTGTTTCTAATCCAGGGTCTAATCAAGGTGTGAGTTACACCTCTTTAGTCTCCCTTAGCCTAGAATAGTGCACCCCACCTAGCACCTTTTTTTGCTTTTTGTAGCACTGCTGTTTTTGAGGAGTCCTGGCCTCTTCTTTTGTGGGATGTCTCTTATTCTAGTTTTGTCTGATAAATAGGCACCTCAGGGTGGTGGTAAACGTGTTTCAGTATCCCCTGGGTTCTTATAAACTGTAAGTTAAGACTTGATTGAATTTAGGTTAAACTTTTTTTTTTTTGCAAAAATACTTCATACTGCATCCATTAAGAGGCTCCTAATGTCAGTTTGTCCTACTAGTGATGCTAAGTGTGATCATATAATGTGGTTCTGGCAGATTGTGACAATATAAAGGTACATTTTTCCTCTGTAATTAACCATCTCGGGTGGTACTCTGATTCTGTGTGAATATCTTATTCTCCAGTAACTTTTTACTTCATGGTTTTTAGTATGCATTTATCTTTACTGAATCAAAGATTTTTTTTTTTTTTAAGATTTTTGTTTATTTATTTGACAGAGAGAGACACAACGAGAGAGGGAACACAAGCAGAGGGAGTGGGAGAGGGAGAAGCAGGCTTCCCTCTGAGCAGGGAGCCTGATGCAGGGCTCAATCCCAGGACCCTGGGACCATGACCTGAGCTGAAGGCAGACGCTTAACGACTAAGCCATCCAGGCGCCCCTGAATCAAAGATTATTTTAATGAGCATCGCAAAATGGAACTTTCTGATTCTGTCATCTCATATGCATTTATCAGATGACTCTGTAAAGAAGAGCTCTCTCTTTTAAGAATTTTATTTATTTTGAGTATCACTATGGACTTAGAGATATTTTAAATACTCATGTGTTATCAGTTATCATCATTATACTTTTTGATCTTCAGATTGTCCCAGATTTGGCTAGTAAGAGCTCCTTTAAGCCAGCTACCTTACTGTGTCCTTTTGACATGGCCTCATTCTCAAAAACGTTTTTGAGAACATTTTTGTTTTTTGGCACAAGAAGATGTTCCAGGCCCATCCTATATTCTTCTTGCACCAGACCTATAATCAACTTTTGTTTCTCCAGGAAAGCCTGGCTCATTCATTAGTGACTGGTATGTAGAAACCATATCTTGGCATGAGGTGTGTTCATTGCCAATGGGGTGTCACTGCTTCTGGGCCCAGAGCCTCTTTAAAGGGGCCTTTGCTAATGAAGTTCACAGATCCAGTTTAGTGAATTCAGTTTATTTCAGCTAGGGTTTACAAGTGATGTAGAGGATAAAGAGATAAAAAAGATGCATTCCTTATTATTACAAGTTTGCAGTTGGGGCTGGAAGACCACTAAATCATGCCTGTATATGAAGCAAATTATGATATGCATTATTTTAGTAATACAGAATAGGAAATTGTTCTTTGGGTTTTTTTTTCTCTTGGAGAAAGACTGTCTCTACTAAAACACACATGTGAGCATTAGTTCCTTGATACCAGAGGTGTGGTTCTAATTCAACTCAGTATCTCTGTGCCTCAGTTTCCTCCTCTAAGGGCTGTTTCTCTGGGTTGTTCAAGTTAAATGAGAAATAAATGTAAAACAGCACAGTCTGTGGCATTTTTGAGATACTCAAAGCATTGTAGGAGTAGGGGTCTCCTACCTTGCATCTGTTCTTCACTCCCCGCAGAACCTCCATTTTGTTCAGTATGATAGCTATCATAATTATTATTATTACTAGTTTTTTAAAAAGATTTTATTTATTTATTTTGAGAGAGAGAGAGCGCAGTGAGGAGGGGCAGAGGGAGAAGAATCTCAAGCAGACTCCACGCTCAGCGTGGAGCCTGATGTGGGGCTCGATCCCATGACCCTGAGATCATGACCTGAGCTGAAAACAAGAGTTGGCCACTTAACCAACTGAGCTACCAGGTGCCCCTATGATTACTGATTTAAAAAAACATTATTGTTGATAGAACTTGGTGAACCTGTGCCAGGTGATGTGGGAGAAAATGCAGCCTTCTCTAAATCTGTCCTGCCTGTGAAACCAGTGGAGATAGAGATTGAAACACCCCAGCAGGCGAAAGCAAGGGAAAGAAGGTAAGATTATCTTACCTTGTCTCTAGATTCCTGTCACACAAAATGAGCAAGAGCTGCTACTTAACACAAGTTTTTTTTTTTTTTAAAGATTTATTTATTTATTTGAGAGACCAAGAATGAGAGAGAGTACATGAGAGGGGGGAGGGTCAGAGGGAGAAGCAGGCTCCTCGCCGAGCAGGGAGCCCGATGCGGGACTCGATCCCGGGACTCCAGGATCATGACCTGAGCCGAAGGCAGTTGCTTAACCAACTGAGCCACCCAGGCGCCCTAACACAAGTTTTTGAGAAACACATAGGAGACGGGGGCTGAGTACCAATGTGGTTAGGAGTCTTAGGTGAGAGAGTCCCACGTTCAAGAATCCTGGTTTGTTCTCTGGCTGGGGCAGACATGGGAAGAGGAAATTCTTAGTGTTGAACATCTGGTGTGTGCCGAGGACTCTGTAGGTTGTCCATTGTCTTACTTAAACTTAAAGATAGTGTGTGGATGAGATCGTGGAGGCTCAGAGAAGTTAAGTAACATTTCAGGAGTCACTCAGCCAGGGAGCAGATGAGCCAAGATCCAAATCCCTCTCTGGCCAACTTGACACTCATGCTTTCGCACCACATTACACTGAGCGATTTGAGCCAGTGCGCCCCTATGGTAGGGAGCCCCCACTCCATCCCAGGATCCCCAGGACCAGTGCAGCCACTGGTGGCTTGGGAACGTGAGCACAACGCCCGGCAGTTAATTGGCGAATGAGTCCCACTCTGTGTGCACTCTGCACATTGATGGGCACATCATTAGGCACGAAGGAGGAGGACAGATGCATGGGACACAGGCATGAAAGAGATCGCCCAGCAGAACAGCACCGTACAAATGAGTGCGCACCAATTTAGCACGGAAGTACTGGTGCAAAGGACGGAATCAGTAGTTGGGAGGTCAGACAGGCAGGGAAGCCTCCTTGGAGGATGTGTGTTTCAAAGCACGGCTGTGAGGCGTGACAGGTGGAGAATGTCCCGAGCCAAGGTGTGCAGGTGAGAAGGAGCAGAAAGCCAGCGGAAAACAGCCAGCTTGCTGGTGTGCCCGAGTAGCACAGCCTCAGGCAGGAGAACCAGGAGAGTGATTCAGGAGCTATGACGCGGGACTGGGGGCTGGGCTCAGGGCTCAGGGCTCAGTCTCCCACTTCATTCTTGGATTTTTCCATGTGCATGGCAGTGAAAGGATAAAAGTGGAGTTTGAGACCTATCTTCGGAGGATGATGAAACGTTTTGGTAAAGAAGTCCGCGAGGACACGCACAAGGTAAGGGCAAGGGCAGGGGGCAAAGGGACAGTGTCCTCTCTGTCGAGGCAGGGCAGTGTGGTGCACGCAACCTCGGTTCTCAGTCAAGCCTGGCTTTGTGTGGCTCCTCTACTCACTGTGTGGCCTTGGCGAGTTTCTTTGTCTCCCTGAGCCTTGGTTTCCTCATCTTTGAGGTGGGGGGCGATAAGTGCCTGCCTCGGAGGGGGGTTGTGGGGACGGAGCAAACATGACACACAAGGTCCGGAGCACAGAGCCGGCACAAAGCAGGGCCGGACCCACAGGCACTCTCCCGCCATCCCTTCCTCCACCTGTTTCATAACCTCAGTTCCCACCACCGCTGAAGAGATGGTGTCTTTGACTTCAGGGGGCAGTTATTGAACCGCATCATGGACCTCACAAGGTACTTGGCTTTGTGGGGTTAGAGACTTGTATAAAGCTTCTTTCCTGCCATTAAGGAGCATCTGATCTCAGAGATGGAACAAGACAGACTTCAAAACAGGACATTCAAGACTCAGAACACGGAAGGGGACCAGTGTGGGTCAGGAGGCTGAGGAAGGCAGCTTTATTTAAGAGAAAGGCCAGCGGGGAGTGGTGGGGGGAGGGCGGAGCTGGGGAGGCTGCCCGCGCCAAGTGCAGAGGGCACGGTGGGACAGCCCGTGTGTCTGCGTCTTGGACGGTACGTGCGTTGGTGGCCTGTGAGTGAGGGAAGGGCGCTTGGATGTCCCCCTGATGGGCAGCGGGCAGCCAGAGCGGGTAGAGCTTGCAGGGCTGGAAGAGACGGTGTGTCTACAGCAGCCGCAGAAATGGGGAGATGAGACGAGCACAGAGCAAGGACAGTGAGGAGACAAGACACCCGCCTCCCTGAGGCCTTGAGCACGTGAGACAGCTGTGCTGCTTGTAGCTTTGGGAAGAGGTGAAATGAGGGAAAGAGTTCATATGACTCCAAGATGAGAAGCTCAAGTGAGGGGAGAAGAGCGGAGCCATTGACTGAAATGGGGAGGTCCTCGGTGGGGAGGAAGGGAAAAGGATGTAAGGTTGTGGAGGAGGTGGTGAGGAGTCATGTGACCATCTCTGGAGCTCTGGTGGGGGGCCAGCTTGCCTTGGGGTCTGCAGCGGAAGAGGCTGGGTCCTGGCACCCAGGGAAGGGCGCAGAGAGCTGTCTGGTGAACCCGCGCCGTCCCCCAGCTTGGACAGCTATTGGCGCTTGCACAGTCTCTCCCTTCTCTCCCCCGACTCACTTTTCCTCCTGATGTTTTTGGAGCAAATCCTGCAGCATATGTTTAAAAGACAAGGCCTTTAAAAAAAAAAAAATCTGTATTCTGCAATTTTGAGATTTGGTTATTTGAGGGAATAAGTATCTAGGGGGAAGACAGGGTGAAAAACATGATCTTGGGAAATGGCTAATGTTGGGATTTTTACTTCCTTGTGTGTAGAAATAACAGATAATTCCCGCCCACAAAACGTCTCTCAGTGTGGCAGCAAAAACCCTTCTAGTTCTCGGCCTACCATCTTCCCCTTCTTTCCAGGTTCACCTGTTGTGCCTGCTGGCAAATGGTTTCTATCGAAGTAACATCTGCAGCCAGCCGGATCTGCTTGCTATTGGCCTGTCCATCATCCCAGCTCGCTTTACCAGAGTGCTACCTCAAGACGTGGATGCCTGTTACCTGTCAAACCTGGTGAAATGGTATGGCCCTCCGGCCCATCCTGCAAAGCCCTAGTATAGGACTTGTGTCTCTCAGAGGCTGGGGGCAGGTCAGTTCCCACAGACCTTCCCTGAGGGGTTCCTATATGCCGAGCCTTGAGCACAGCCTTGAAGATAGAGACACGTCAGGCATGCTCTCTGCCCTGGAAGAGCTCCTAGGCTGGCTGGGGAGACAGATGCACCCCAGGTAGTCAGTGTGAGGAGCACTCGGGAAGAGGTCTGCTGGGGCCTGTAGGTGCACGGAGCAGCTGGGGGGCTGGGAACCTCCCAGGGACATGAAGTCTGCTGGGGTCTTCAGTGGTGAGCCGGGGTCAGCCACACGGACTGGGAAGATGAGAACAGAGGCAGGCAAGGCTCACAATTCCCTTCTGAGACTTTCCTGTCTGATTTGCTTGGCTATAAAAGGATAGCAAGCGTTCCTCTTTGCCCTCACCTGTGACACAGGGAACGCCTGGTTTCTCTCCAGGTTCATTGGTACATTTACAGTTAATGCAGACCTCTCAACCAATGAACGCGATGGTCTACAGACGACGTTGGAAAGGAGGTTTGCTATTTACTCTGCGCGGGATGATGAAGAGTTGGTCCATGTAAGTGATTTCTCTTGGTGCCACTATTTTCTAGGACCGTGAGCTAATGACCATGGCAGTCACGTGCCAGATACCATTCCGGTGTTTTCCATGTTCTTCCTTATTCATTGCTTGTGAAATAAAAAATAGGTTCTGAAGCTCAGAGAGGCCAAAGAACTTTCTCAGGGTCATTCCACTGGTAAGCACTGGAGTCAGGTTCAGGACCAGTGTGTGGGGTGGAAAGCCTGCATTCGTTCTGTTGCTTGGTGTCCTGGGGCATTAAGCATGTACTTTTTGGTCAGGTGCCCTAGAATTGTTTCCATTAACTATTCAAAAATTATGTTCAGAAGTCCCAAGGAGGGCGCCTGGGTGGCTCAGTTGGTTAAGCAACTGCCTTCGGCTCAGGTCATGATCCTGGAGTCCCGGGATCGAGTCCCGCATCGGGCTCCCTGCTCG